GCAAATATAATAAAATATTTATAACACATGTGATTTTTTTTTTTTTTTTTTTTTTTACAATTAACTTCATTAAATAACCAAGCAAGTAATATAATAGATTTTCAAGAAAAAGTGAAAAAAAAAAAAAATTAAATTGAAAAAGGAAAAATTTTTAAAATAAGAGATTGTTTCATTAATGTTGAGGTCTAGTAGCTGTTGCTTTACAACGCATTTAAAATGTTGGAATGAGTTTATCGTTTTTATTTTGTTTGTTAGAAATGAGTTCCACAATTGAGTTCCAGAATTCCACAATTCTATGTAGCGTCTATCATTCTATTAAAATTACTCTAGTATATTTCTTAGAGTTTTATTTTAAGTAATTACGAAAGAAAATATTACGTGTAATACAAAATATGAAAAATACCTTAGCCGTCCAAAGAGGACGCCATCATTTTTTAGGCAATTTCACTCCCCCAAGGCGATAACTACCTATTTAAAAAATAATGAAAAAACTTGTTTGATCTTATTCCATATTTTATGGACTTCTTTTTGACAATCGTCTTATTTATAAGTTGGATGAAGGTGATTATAAGACCTTATTAACGAATTAAAAAAACAATTTTTATCCATCTTGTGACATGCAGGGCCGACGACAAGGGAGGGGGGAGGTAGGGCCAGGGTGTAAGTGCCCCTCCTCACTTGCTTTTTATTTATTAAAGTTGACAATTTTTATAAAAAATCGAGGATTTTATTTTTTAAATAAGGTAGTGTGCTTTTTATCCTTCTTATCTCAACCCCCTCCCTCCTTTTTTGCAATATGTTCTTTATGGTTGACCCCTTGAGCAATTCATTTATCTTTTTTTAAAGAAAAACAACGAATAAAAAAAAAGTAAAACTTCATTATTCATTTCTACTAATTTCTATATTCTAAATATTTTATATTTCTACTAATTATCAAAAGTTTAGTTATTTCTCTATTATCAATTGAAAATAAAATCAATAAAAAAATAAAATCAATAAAAAAAATTTGATTTTATCAAACAAGATATTATTGGAGTCTTAATTTACCATTATTTTACTTTCATCAATAATTTATTTGTGTAAATAGTTATACTTTTATTTCTCTTTCATTATATCTACGTTTACTTTTTATTTCATAAAACTAATTAAACTGTAAATTATTTACTGATGATATGGGATCTCGAAAGATGTCTTTTGTATAAATGTTATTCTTCAAATAGACTTTTTATGTGGACTATTCTTACTTGACCACCTTAGCTGAAAAAATTAAAACTTCCATCTATATTATTATTTTTAATACCTTGGTGATAATTTAATGCATTTATAGTCTCTTCACAAAATACTTTTAACATGTATCAACTTTTTGTCTAACAATCAGTCTTGGGTTAGCAGCAACATATGTCAGCTTAGACATTTTAACCAGCTGACTAACTCAATTTCAGCAGACTTTTCACTTATCTAATTGTTTCGTATACACTTTAATACATGCATAAAATCAAAAAGTAAAAAAATGCCATCAGTTGTTAATCATAGAGATAAGTAATCATTTTTTAAAAATGCTTGATTTACTCTATTATAATCATTAATTAAAGTGACAACTTTTCCATTTGTCTTCTTAATTTGGTTGATTAGGATATTAATTTGATTGTATACAAAATCCAAATTATTTACTGGTAACATTCTTACCATAAATTTTGTTCCCTCATAAAAACATACAACCATGAAAGCCAATATAGTTGTTGCAAAATTTGATTCATTGTTTACTGCTTTACGGTTCACATCAAAAAAGCTTCAAAAGAAGGTGATCTAGTTAAAATATTTGCTTTACCAAACAAATGTCCCTGTGATAAGTTAGCATAGGTTTAACATAAACTTCTTCTAGTAATAACATACAATTTTTTTGACTATTTTGTTGAGTTTTAAAAAAACACTACAAATAAAAGTGTCTAACTTTTAAAGTTATAAGTGTCAGGGAGATAAAAATCATTTCTTAATTGATCATATAAACTATGTGACCGTGCAAAATGTTCTAAAGCTCAAACAATAACTTCAGGTGAATATTTTTGCTAAAAAATGTTACTTGAGTTTAACTTATGCATTCTACCGGCTGACGTAAAATTGTTTTCTTTTCTGACTTCTTAAAAGAAATCAAATATCCAAATGATGTGACCAACTTTTGATCTTATAAATACAATTTTTAACTAATGAAGTAATATTGAATACAACTCCAGCATGATAGGTTTCATATGATAAATTATTAAATACTGTTAGACACAATTTACTAATACCAGTATTGCTTTAATGCTCTTTTGATTGCAAACAACATCTATTCAAAAAATAAATAAATAGAAAAGCTAATGAATCATTAAGTCTTCCTTGAGATAAGTAACTGCAAAATATTCTAAATGAATCAACTTCGTCAAACATCTTACGAATTTAGAAAGTTCATCTTCTTTTACTGATCTGAGAGACTCTCTAAGCTCTCTAAGAGAGCTTTTAACGTATTGTTGTTGTTCTTTTTCTAGTGGAAGAGTTAGCACACTAAACTCTAAATTAATTTAAATACACTAGATAGATCTCGAGAATTTTCTTTTCCTTTTAATAACTTGGAAGTTTGATGGAAAATGTTTTGCACAAACTACAGTGTAATGTTTAAATGGCATATTTTCTGTTGGGAAAACGTTAATCCATCTCTGGCGCTCTTTATAATCTCTTAGAAATTCTAGAAGTTTTTAAAATCACGTACAAGTGAAAAGTCAATTTTGAGTTTTTAATCAAATCATGAAAAGTTTAGGTTAGTTGCATAAAACATCGACGGCCTTTTCAAGTGTTGGAAAAGGATATAAGTGAGCGTCTGTCAAACATTTTATATAGTGAGTACGCATTTCATTCACAACAAATCGAACATCAAGAGGGGATTTTCCATCCAGCAATATACTTGTATAACCCAGAGCAAAGACACCACAATTGAAACTATCAATTTGCTTATCAATTGTCTTATCTTTTACTGAGTCATAGTTATAGTTACAACCAGTTTTCTGTGCATTTTCAACATAATTTTCTAGGCGTTGCGCGATGTCACATCAGTTCAACCTGTAGCGAAATGGTCTTTCAATTTCAAGAGATTGTTGGAGTCCTAATTTACCCTTCCACTCTTAATTTCCTGGTAAATCTAAACTCGAAAGGTTCTAATTTACCGGGAAATTAAGACTTTCGAAGTCATAATTTCCTGATCCTAATTTACCGCGACACCGGCGTGTGAAAAAAGATTATTTTGAGAAAACGCAAAAAGAAAAAAAAATTAGCACATAAAACTTTAAAACTTTAAGTAAAACACATACTATAGTTAAAATATCTAATAAAAAGTATTAGAAACCTCCTGCTTCATACAACTTCCGTTCTTTTTCTTTATCATTTTTGTTAAGAGTATATACTTCTGGAATTATGTTCAAAGATTCATAAACTAAAATCGATGCTTTTCGACCAATGTTACATTTAGCAGTGGCGGATTGAGGTTTAGTGTCGCGGAAGGGGGGGGGGAACTAAGTCAATGAATAGGGGTAACCGGGGTTGGGTTTGGTACTTTAAACACCAGAAATTATTTTCCTGAGGATCGCACTTATGACTAAAACACTTTATAAGTGTTTTTATGTGACTTTTATCATACATATTATATACATATAAAACACTAAATAACCTAATTTTTTCTGAGTTTCCTACGTTAATTTTAGTTAACAATTATTTTTTAAAAAATAAGAATTTGATATTACTGAAATAGTTCAGTCATTTAAAAATATATTTAATAAAATATTGGAAAAGTTAGCATCTAGAAAAAAAAATTCCCTTTCTAGATAGTTTACACAAATTTTTTTCTGCGAGATTTCATTAAAGCAAAACGGTTAGTCGAGAAGCTTAAGTCAATGGTTTCAGCAAGATCTCTTTCAATAGAAATTAATGCTAATCCAGAAAGACGTTTGTTTTTCATTGTAGATCTGAGATAATTTTTTATAATCTTTAGTTTACTGAAACTTCTTTCAGCATTAGCAGATGTAACAGGAAGAGTCAAGAAGATTTTGTAAAGAATAGACAAGTTAGGGAGGCCAGGCGCCATCTGTTTCTCAATCAAGAATTGAAGTACATCTTTCATTTGTAGGTCAGTTGTCAGTGATGGGGATATCGATGCATACACATCTTTGAAAGTTTCATACTCTACGATTGCTTCTTTAGTGTTTACGTCGTTACAATAAATTTGACATAAGTTTTCAAATGAATTTATATTTTCCTCAGATAACTTTGACGGGTCAAGGCAGTCAAAATGTGTAACTGTGTTACTAAAGTCATAAAATCGTTCATCTATTTGGGTTATAATTGTATCCAAATCATAGAAGTAGGTTTCAAATTTAAAATGTATAGTTGGATCATCTATTCGTTCATCTCTCCACAGCTCTCCTGCCATGCATTTTTTTTTGGTTACACGCTTTTCTTTAAATTCAGTCTAGTTCGGCACATTTTTCACTAATAAATGATTTGACTGCTAAATGTAGAACTTCAAAAGCTGCATCGTTTCTCATATCGACAAAAATTTTTTTTTGTTGCATCAATCAACTGTTTTGCAAATAAAACGTCTATATCCTTTCGTTGCAAATAGTTAGATAACACAAAAAGATTATTTAACAACTTTTGCAGAAATCACATTAGAAAAACAAACGAATGTTTTTTTTTATTAAAACTGATAAACCAATAGCTTCTGCTCTAACATTTCCTGTATGTTCTTTGGGTTCTCCTAGATTTATATCTTCTAGAGTGGCTAGAATAGCAGAAAAAGATTCAACAACAGCATCAACTGCATGCTTCCTTCTTGCCCATCTTGTATCAGAAAGTCGTTTCAGAGTGTCTATTGTTGATTCATATAGACGTTTCTGGTGCTTTTGGAGAATATGAAGTTGTGGTAAACTAGACATAAGGTACGTATACAATTTTTCAGCTGTGTCAAAAAACAACTAGACATCGCTGTTTACAGACATTGCTTCGATGGTCACTAAATTTAAAACATGAGCACAACAATGAACATAGGTGGCATTTGGTGAAAGCGCTTTTATCCAAGTTTGAAAACCACTTTTAATTCCAGACATTACAGAAGCACCATCCTTTGCTTTTCCTCTAAAGAGTTTATTATCAATGTTTCGTTTTTCAAGCTCAGATAAAGTTAACTCAGCAAATGCTTCAGCGTTGCTGTTTTTGAAAGTATAGAAGCCTATGAATCTTTCCACAACATCACCTGATTTTAAAACCATTCGTAACGAAACTGACATCTAATCAATTTTGGAAATATCAATAGTTGAATCAATAATAGCGAAAAAAACTGGGCTAATTTAACTTTATTGTTGATTGTGGATGAAATTTCAGAAGCAAGCGATTGAATTAAATCATTTTGCACATCATGACTTAAATGCAGTTGATTTCTCTTTTCATACCTAAGATGATTGTCCAAAGTAAGATCATATTTAGATAATAGAGTTAACAGTTCAAGAAAATTGCCAGCGTTGTTAGCTGTACCTTTACTACCCATTTTGCAATGTTGATGTTCTCTGTGTCCTCTAAATGATAAACCTTGCTTTGCTAAGAACAACGTTACGTCTATCATTCGTTTAAAAACTTCTCTATTCGTTTCTACTTGGCGACACTCTTGGCTAATTAAACCAGATATAACAGTTTTATCATTTGAAATACGATATTTAGTAAGCAAATATTGGCGTATTGCATTTTGATGCTGGTGAGAAGTTTCGTGTTTAACAATTTTTTCCATGCCTTTTTTCCACTTATAAACTCCTGCAGAGGTATCAGACCATTCTATGCTATAATTTTCAGCTTTAAAATCAGCAAATAACCAGCAAGCGTGGCAGTACATTTTTTGTTTGCTAGGTGAAAATACAAGCTAATTTCTTTCCTTTTTTATATTTCCCTTTCCAATAGTTTTGTATACCAAGATATTTGGAACTTACGGCCGGCTTCATCAGTTGGAAATTGGAAAGATTTCTGTAGACCTGGCTGACATGGTCCTATTTCACATAACTTCCTTATGAGTTTTGTACTCAAACTCATATTATTATATAGTCCGGGATCTGAAGGGAAGTCCGATTGAGGAAGAAGCGGTTCTTGAACAGTTGTAACTAGTACCGGGATATATGGGGTAAGTTCTTTTTCATCAAATGCTTCATTTTTAGAATTAGTAGACCTGATACCATTATCGCTTATCTGCTCGAAGTAGTGTTGAAATCTTTTAGCAGGCGTATCAGTTTCACTTTCTGTATGGACACTTTCAGAAAGGTGTAGATCTTCAGACACAAGCGTATTTACAGAAGAAGTTGTAATTGACTGAGTATCCGACAATTTGGTTAAATATGATGTTAGTTTGTGACACTTGCTTGCATCCATGTTCAAACGAAGCTTCTTAGCTAACTTACGGGTAGCTGCTCCACTTAATTTTCGTTTTTTGTTTTCATTACTTGGTTCATGATCGATATCATCTATAGTAGTTAACATAACAATATTATAGCAAAGATTTTCGACTATTGCTAAACTGTTCCTCCTATTTAATACAATCGATCTCTCATCTATAAAAAACATTTTAACAACTCTAACAAATAGTAATGATTATCTTAAGCAAACATCTAACTAATTTTTAACGTCTAATTATTAACAATAATAAATAATTAATAATGTTTAAAAACCAATTAATAATAACAATTTTAAAAACTTGTTAAAAACGGCAACAATACAATAACGAGAACAGAAGCTGACAACAGATACTGATTTCCAATACAAAGACAATCAGAAATCATCAAAAAAAAAAATTATTATAAAAAACAAAAACTTAAGATCAAAACAACTAAATTAAAATAAAAATACTTTTGAAAAGAAATTTTAGCACGGTTGATTGATTAATTTAACGTCGCTCACGGTTTAACGATTGATTTGTTCTTTTTTATTCAAGCGTCTTAATAGCTTTTAATGTTTTGATCTTAGACTTTTTTCTCCCCTCTATTTTAAACTATTTTCTCTCTTTACTTTTTACTTTTGTACTTATTTTTATTCTTTTCCATTTTGTTTTTCATTGGTAATTTGATCTTATAATTTTTTTTTTGATTGTTTTAGGGGGCGCCGTTAGACCGTTCTAGGGGGGCGTGGGGAAGCTCGCCCCCCTTCCCTACGCCTTATACTAAATCCGCCACTGACAATTAGCCACTGCATCATAAACTCTAAATTCTAATTTTTTTTTTATTATTCTTTATTACAATATTTATGATACACATACAAATAATATAAAAAAAGAAAAAAGAAAAGGTAACAAGTCAAGATATCGTTAAGTATTAAAAAATAAAAATATTTATAAATAACGCAGATACTCAAACCCTAACCCTAGGGTCTAGGGTTTCTCTGTGACAAGACCTGATGGTCTTGTCACAGAGAAACCGCTATTAAACGTTTTTTTTTATTTATTTATTTATTTTTTTTTCAAGGTTTTTATTCTTTATATTTATTTATTTTCGTTCAATTTCTTTTTATTACAAAATTAAATTTCATAATAAAAGTATATAAAGTTCGTAATATAATATTATAAATAAGCATACAATATTACAATATAAGAGTTCTAAAACGTAAAAAACTAAAACATGTTAAATATTTCACTAAAATAAAACATGTTGAATAATAGCTTGTTGATAAAAAATAAATAAATAAAAAAGAATGTACATTAAATATATACATATACTAATATAGATAAGGGATTTTCAAAAATTTAAAAATACATAAGTATATTTTCAGTTGAAAAAATGAGTTTTTTAAGATTTTATTTAAAAGAATCAAAATTACATTCTTGAGAAAAATCTTTAGAAGTATTTAGAACTATACTATTCTATAAAAATGGTCTGCGAAATGAAATAAAAAATTTTCCAAAATTAGTTTAAGAAAATGGTTGTCGAATTAAGTTATCGTTCCTTAGAGTATATTTATTTCTATCTCTTTGTGAATACAAGAAACGGGTGATAGGTGGGTCTTGCATTTATACATAAAACAAAGAATATTAAAAACATTCAACTCATATATTTTGAGTGCTTTCATATCATATAAAAGAGGCTTGGCGTGAGCAAAACGGTCCTTGAAATTTATAAGGCGTGCTACATGCTTCTGTTGCCGATAGAGAGGTTTAAGTTTACTTTTATAAGTGCTACCCCAAGCAATGTTTGCATAGTTGATATGGCAATGAATTAACGAATAATATAATTGAATTAAGGTCTTTTTATCAAGAACGTTTCTTATTTTGTATAATATGCCTATACTCTTTGAAATTTTACTGCACAAGTTAGCAATGTGGTATTTCCATGTAAGGATTTCATCAATATATACACATAAAAATCTTGTCACTAAACTCTATTAATAACTATGTTATCGATAAATAGAATAGGTAAGTTGCTAGGCAGCTGGTGCTTTTTACCATAAAGATGAAAAAGAACCCATTTAGTTTTATCAATATTTAGTGAGAGTTTAAACCATTCGGAAATTTTGACTAGTTCAGTGTTCATTTTGCTAAAAAGTGTAATAATGTTATTATGAGAAAGAAATAGGTTAGAATCATCAGCAAACATAACTGTCATTAGGTTAGAAGCTTTTGGTAGATCATTAATATACATTAAAAATAGGAGAGGTCCTAATATGGATCCTTGAGGAACTCCACATGAAATGTTTAACAAACTAGATGATACGTTATCATCCGCATAAACAAATTGTTTTCGATTATTTAGGTAACTTTTTAGCAAAATTAAAATTGTTTCAGTAATTCCGTACCACACGTACCACTCTCACTTTTTAAAAAGAATTTTGTGATATATAGTATCAAAAGCTTTCGCCAAATCAATGAAAACACCTAAAGTAAATTGAGAATTTTCAAATGAGTCAGATATATTTCTTGTAAATTGTAGAATGGCATGTTTAGTAGAATTGTTTTTTTGGAATCCGTATTCATTGCTGTATAATAAACTGTTTAAAGTAAGATGACTATAAATTTTATTGTACAAAATTCTTTCTAAAACTTTAGAGAATACAGAAAGGAGTGAAATAAATTGATATTAACTTATATTCTCAATGTCGCCACTTTTTAATATTGGTATGACTTTTGCTAATTTTAGAGCTTGTGGAAAAATTCCCTGTTTAATTGATATTAAAAAAATTTTAAAGAGTATATCTTTTAGAACATCAAATGAACTTATATAATAATGTTGCCATTAATACCATCAGGGTCTACTGCTTTGTTAGATTTTAACATTTTAAAAGCAATTTCAAACTCTTTAAAAGATAATTCAAAAGAGTTCAAGTAAGAGTTTAGAGGGAAACATAGATCATTCATTAAACTGTTAGCTATAGGAATTCTTTTTGCCAGGTTTGGTCTTACAGACACAGAATTTGTCTTTTATCATATAAAAATTCATTATGTTTAACCGTGTTTGGTAAAGAGTGAGATGTACATTTTTTGCTGGCAGTAATTTCTCTTATTATAAAACAAGTGCGTTTAAAATTTAATTTATATATATCTAGTAAATTTAAATAATAATTTTGTTTTTGTTTTTTCTTGAGGCTTTCAAAAAGTTTAGCGTAATTTTTATATACAATTTTATTTTCATTTGTTTTAGATTTTAAGTAATTAATGTATAATTTTTGTTTAATTTTTGAAGATTTCCGCAAACCCTTTGTAATCCAAAGTAATTTAATACTTTTGCTTTAAGATTTAAATTAACTTCAGGAAAATTAGTTTCGTAAATATCATAGAAAGTTTTAAAAAAGGAGTTATAAAGTAAGTTTGTATCATCAGTGGTGTTAATAATGCTCCAATCAATTAGAGATAATTGTTCTTTAAAAGATTTAAGGTTTTCATTTGTAAAAATTCGCTTTTTGAAACATCGTTTTTCATTAGGAACTAATTTATTATCTATATTTATAGAAAAGAAAATAGGAAAATGATCAGATATCTCATTTTTAATTATGCCCTTTTTTAAGGATTCGTTAAAAACATCAGTAAGGAAAATATTATCAATTAAAGGCACTTTATTGAGTAATTCTTGTCGGTTTGCTAATCAAAGGAATCGCACTATTTTCAAAAATGCCATTATAAAACCTTTTAATGTTATTATTGACGTGGTATTACAATCGTGGTAAACAATCTAAATTCAGATCAACCACTAAGTAGATAAATTTATTTTCGTGGTTACTTTTTTTAATAACGTCATTATGTAAAAACGAATTAAAATTTTTAATTTCACCTGAAGGTGGGCGATAACAACAACTTAGAACTTTATTTTTATTTTATTGGTTAAAATTTCATTTGTTAAAACCTCTTTATCAGCATCAGAGATGCTCATGTCATGGGTAAAATATCATACGTTATTTTTAACATAAATAAGAACGCCTCCGCCTCCGGGATTAAATATCGTAAGTTATTTTTAACATAAATAAGAACGCCTCCGCCACGCTTATTTGTTTTTCATTAAAACCCGGCAGTTTAAAATTGGTAAAAAAATTTACGTCATCCGAACTGCACCATGTTTCTGTTAAGCAAATTATATTAAATAGATTACAAGTTTCTTCAATGAAATTACTAAAGATTTCAAATTTTTTTTTAAAACTGCGGATATTAATGTGAGTTGTGTTAATATTATTTTGATCAAGAAATCCATTAATTTCATGGGTATAAAAGTAGTTGCATTTATTTTGCAAAGCACCAAAATTAGTAGTAAAGTAATTTAGATCAGGATCAGATTCATCGTCTAATAAGAAATCATTTGTTTGAAAAAAATTATAAAAACTAGACTCAAAATTTAAGGTTTCGTTTGAATCCATTTTATTTTTGTTTTTTCA